GGTGTATGCGTGAATGTGGGCGTGGCATTGGTGTTGCAAGTACCAGCTACAACAACAACAACAACAAGTCGAGAATAAATGCCTTAAAGCTTCTCATTTGTCGATTTGTGGATTGTCAGTCGTCATTTATGCCCCGCAGTGAATTGCTGTGTGTGTGTGTGTGAGTGTGTGTGAGTGTGAGTGCCTAGCAGACAAAAGCACAATCAGCTAAACACCCACACAGATACAAAAAAAAACCTGTATATAATCCATGTCAAAGTGATTTTTCACCTCAAGGGCAAATTTAACACAATAATTTGCACAATTTGTCAAAACAACCCTCGGGCTAAATGGTATCATAAACCACAACAGCAGGCAGTCTAACACACACACACACACGCACACCCAGCCACGCACACACACACACGCACACTGAGCTAGTCGAAAAGTCAGACAAGTTGATTGTGCTGCGTGCAGTCACGCCTTTAACTACACACACATATACACAGAGAGAGAGAGAGATACCCTGTAGCTGCAGAGAGTGGCTAGAGTGGCTACACAGTCTATGCTTAACACTAATTGACTCCCTTAAGATACAGTTCCATGCATAAGCTTACTTTTCTCGCACTCAACAGCTTAACTTAACTTGCATGATCTCTGATATGCCCTTTAAAAATTCCAGATTTATGACGGTAATTTGAAGACCTTAATGGGTACTAAAAATACATAATTAGTTGATATATGTACCTATATTTTATATCTAAAATCTTATCTAATCTTATCTGCATGCCTAATTTCCGGTTGACTCTGCGTTCTCAATTAATATACCATGAAGTTAGTATAGGTATACGAGGGCGGTGCCAGTACAACCATACCTAGAGGAAACACAACAAATTTGGGAAAATTCGAATGCATTTCTGAACGTATTCGCCTTTTAGATTAATATATTCTTCCTTGCATTATTCTATAGATCGTAGCTATAGAATTAGACTGTAAAGCTCATTGAAAGACGCATCTACCGCAGGTTCTACTCTTGCATTGCCTGCCCAGCCTTTACCTCCATCTCTCAGAGGATTGATAAAAAAGTCTCTATATAACACAATTCTTAAGCTGAGCTACTTTACAGATAGATCTATCGGATATATAATAGGTAAGCCATTTAAGGCGTGGCACAGACAGAATTTCCCATCAGTCTAGCTGCTTTTGGCTGGTGAACGAGTATTGGGCAGTCAGCCATGGGACTAAGCTCTTATTATTGGAATTCGCACTCAATTAAAAATGAAACTATTCAAAGAATTCATCATTCATTCAGCGACAACTCGAGTGGGGGAAAATCAAAAGACTTTTTGCTGAGACGTTTTTAATTTGCGTTGATTTATTTATGGATAATTTTACTTTGTTTAATCAAAAGTCATTGAAATGTTTTAATTTAAGCAAATGATTTATTGAAATCACAAAACGAAATTCGATTTCAAATTGATTTGAGGTTAATAAAGTCTCAACAGCTCTGCATCTCTCTCTCTCTCTCTCTCCTCATCTTTCTCTCTCTCTATATTTATTTTCTGTTAAATAAACAAGGCAAAATTTAAATTTCATGTGTCGACGAGCCAGAAAAATTTCACTTTATTTAATAAAACAACAGAAAAAAGAAATGAAAAAAAAATGTAAAAACGTCGCAGTCGGGCGGCACCAACTGCTGAATACTCATTCACTGAGAACTGCCAGATGCATTTCCCCATTGGTATATATAGAGGTTGTCAAAAGTATTTGCTCTCAATGGGCGTAGATATATCCACCACATCTAATTGATTTTGGACTGTCGATACGAGTAAATATCTCTTTAGATCTTCATCGATCATGCTCTCTGGGATACAGGCAAATGCATTTTCCAACTTGCCACGCCTATAAAGGCGAGTATACGACTATATGTTTCGAATTTCAGATCTCTAGCTTCAATGGTGTGCATCTATACGGCCGGACAGCCAGACGGACATTACACAAAACAAATATGCTCATTTTTAAAGTTATGTGAGTGGGTATGAAAATAAATTGCAATATATGAAAAACTCAACATTTTTAGCATACTTTTCGCTGTCTATCTCCAGAAAAGAGATGAAAATATTGAAAATTGGGAATTTCGCTGCGATGTTGGTTATCTAAAATCGCATATTCTAGCACTTATCTAATTACGGAAAAAAAAAACTATTTTTTTGGGCAGTCAGATATTTATTAAATCAGAATTCCAAATGAATTTTATCTGTTAATTGGCTGTCAATTGATATTTCCTTAATATCTAATTAATAAATTCCATTTTATTAGATATTTAAGTTTACAGAGAGAGTGAGAGAGAGAGAGAGAGAGAGAGAGGGACTGCGGCAGTTGCATTTCTATTTCCCATCTTTTCTAACTTGAAAGTTTTGAGCTATATTTTCTCTATTTGTTTGTGCTTTCGTGTTGAATGCTCACTCAAGATATGCAAAGAGAGCATATTAGTTGTTGTAACACCTTAGCTCTGGCTCTTTGTCTGTCTATCTATCTGTCTATATGACTCCCTGCAGATAGCTATGTAAAGTAGCTCCATAATAACTTAGAACTTCCGTTTAAGTATAAAGCTTTAAAGGATTCAACCAAATTGACGAACTCCTTATGCTCTCTGATATACATACGCATATATGGCTTATATTTGGTATCTACACATATCTAAATATCTAGTACCATCAACATGTATTCAAACGGACTGGCTCTACAGTAATATGCTTTCGACTTAAATTTAATATACCCTTTTCAGTGTATTGAATGAGCATATTAATATAAATTTGGATTTCTAGCAATTTAACTGATTTAAAATCTAGAGAAAAGCTGCTGAAAAAAAGGTGAAAATTCTGAATATTTTCAGTCTGTAAATTGCTCTTTGGCTATTTATTTATTGCTAGAGCTAATATGTCATAGCGAGTGACTACTGTATTTAGTTGTAAAACGCTAAGAGTTTAGATCCCAGCAAAACTAGCTGAAGGCTTTAAATTGAGGCGCTGTGTGTGTGTGTGTGTGTGTGTGTGTATGTGTGTGATAAGTGGAGAAGAAGAAGCAGACAGAAGAAGAAGAAGAATGAGCAGAAGTAGTCGAATGTCTGTTATTGCACAACAAAATGCATTAACTCAAACAGTTGCAACTGTTGCAGCGCAGCAATTGCTGAAGTTGCAGCTGGAAAAATGTCTGCCCTCTCCCTCTCTCGCACAGAGTCTCTCCTCTGCCTCTCGCTCTGTGTGCGTCGCACAACATTTTACATTCGATGACGTTTTCATTGCCAGATGCAACGTCAACAATAACAGAAAATAGAAACAGAAAATGGAAAATGGCAAATGGAATAAAGTAGAAAAACAGCTTCAATTCGCATGAATAACTGACCAGGCGGCAGAGGATTGACTGACTGATGGACTGATGCGCTGACTGAGTGAGTGAGTGACTGACTGATTGACTGAATTACTGGGTGGTTGGGTGATTGACTGAGAGACTGACTAGTGGAGTGGTGGATGGACAGAGTGATGGACTGGTTGATTGATTGACTGAAAGACTGGTTGGGTGATTGACTGAGTGATTGACTGAGAGACTGACTGGTGGAGTGGTGGATGGACAGAGTGATGGACTGGTTGACTGATGGATTGATTGACTTATTAATTGATTGACTTATTGACTTATTGATTGATTGACTTATTAATTGATTGACTGATGGATGGACTCATTTAAAGAAAGCGTGATTGAGTGGCTGACCCATAGTTGATTGACTAAGTGAATGATTGACCAAAAGACTCAGAGCAAAAGGGAGTGATTGATTGACGGTTGAGTGTACCGATAGATTGACGGACTGAGCGAGTGATTGATTGATAGATCAACTGACTCAGTGACTGATAAACTGAATGATTGAGTTGCCAACTAAGGGACTAAGCTGAGGAATTGACTAGATGATTGACTGATCTGAGTGATTGATTGAAGCACTGACTGAGCAAGTGAGTGACTGATTAACTAATCAACTGACTGGCTACATTTTGAGTAGCGCATTAAAAATGTTTCACAAAATTGACACAGTTTATTTTTGATTGAAATACGCACTCAAACCATTTTGATGTATGTGAAATATTTTTTACACGGCACTCAAAATTTTCCACTATTTCCGTTCGGGCATTAAGAGTCTTGAGCTTACACTTGACTGAGTAGAGGCAGATGGATTTAATTCTTATCTCTACACTTCCAGACAGACTCCGAGCTGAGTATCAAAGTCAAGTCAGGTTATCGCTAAGAATGTACAGCTTGTTCAAGTCCCAGTAGATCGAGTCTGTCTCGTGATCGAGTCCGTAGTCCACAATTCAAGTCAATTTTCATTCTCATGCAGGGTATCTGCTAGTTGGGCCACTTTGATTGGCATTCTGGTTTTGTTCGAGTCTTTAGATTGCTCGAGAGAACCTTATTGATAGATGAGACGACGAGTTTGACTACGGGGTATCTGCTAGTTGAGCACTTTGACTCACTTCCCGTGCGCTGAGATCTCTATGTAGAGATCTCGAGCTTTTCTAGCGATCAGGTCCCGCGTATAGCTTCACTCACTTGCAGGGTATCTGCTGGTAGTGCACCTTGGGCGGCACCTTTGCCCATTTGCTGTTTGTTTTCTTGGTTTCTATTCTGTGATTGCATATTTCACTTACCGGAACTGCAGAGCAGAACGATTGCTGAGCAAGCGATAAATCCAGCTGCGGAGAAGCAGAACGTCTGTCCATGCAGTGCCATGACTGCAGCGGGGCCAAGGGGGCTGCGGACGAGTAGGGGGGGCGAGGTGTGGGGCGGAGCCGAAAAAAAACACAGTCGAAATAGAAGTCGGGCAGCAGTTGATGAAGCTGTTGTCAATGTCGTTGTTGAGCGTTTTATCTGGTTGTCAGCTAATGCACTAGAGATCTCTCTCTCTCACTCTCTCACTCACTCGCACACTATCACTATCTCGTTCGCGCTTGCACAGTCAAGTTTGTATACAAATTCAAAAAAATCGCATCGAGCTGAGTTTTTGAGTGGCGAATTCGTTAGCCAGCTTCATCGAGCCTTGGCTAGCTGAACAACAGCAGCTGCAGCTGCTGCAGCCGCTGCAGTCCTTTGGCCACATTCTCTGGCCGCTGCCCCACGGCAGCCCTCGGTCCGCTGGTGTCCGCCTCTGTCCTGTGTCCTGCTGCACATGCAAATTTTAATTTCCGTTGCTTTCTTCGATGTGCACACAACTGACATCCTTCATTTCCGTCCCGCAACACACACAAAACTTTCTTTTACTTTCTCTCTCGCCGAATTCGCTTCTTTTTTTTTCAATATTTTTCTCACCTTACAAAACAACAACAAAAATTACTTGAAAAAAATATATATATAACATTGCGCGTTTTCTTTACTTCAATGCAATTGAACTTTTTTCTGTCTTCATGTTTTTCAAGTTTCTAGCGTTTCTCTTGATTTTCCAATCTATTTTCGAAGAACTGAAAAACAAAATAGAAATAAAATTCAAATAATTTAATATATTTCATTTGAAAAGCATATATATTGTAAGTTCTTAAAATAAAAAATTAATTCTTGTATTTTTCATTTAAATAAACAAATTTTAAAATATCAAGTTTGAATTTTGAATTTAAAATTCTTATAAAAATTTGACATAGTAAAAAAATTTGGTCTCTCAAAAAAAATGTACTTAAGTTTTTGTAATATTTACTAAAATATTTATCAACAAAAATTTGTGGATTTAATACATTTTTTGAAATATTTTTGAAAATTTGATTTTTAATTTATATAAAAATAATTGAATTACTTCTTATGTTTTTCAGTTTTATTTTATTTTATATCTGTTTTTATTATTTTTTTCTAAATTCTTCAATAGCTTACAATTTGATTTGAAAGTTTCTCTCTTTTAAAAACGATCAAATTGCGTGTTATCTTTTGGCTAACTGTTTCTTTTGCTGGAGAGACAGGCGCACGCGTCCGTTTGCATCTGCATCCGAATCGAAACTGAGTCTTGGCCTTGCCTAACGGCTGATAGCAGCAGGAGCACCAGCAATGGCACTGAAAGCAGCGACAGCGACAGCGCCAGCAGCGGCAGCATTCGGCAGCTGCTTCGTCTTCGTGTTCCTCGTGTTCGTGGCAGCCAAAGCCGAAGCTGGCCAAACAGCTAGCCGAATACGGGCGGCTGGCGTATAAGTGAGAATATTTTGGGTAATTTGTCAGTGAGGGAAATTTGATAAACGCTAGATTTCCCTTTATGCAAGTGAGAACAGTGCAGATAGCTTGTGTTTAATATATATTAATATGATAACTAAATTAAATGTACTACAATTGTGTTTAATAATTTGAAATGTGAATTAAATTGTTTGTACAGCTATTATTATTTATTTCAATACAATTTCCTTGCTCATTAAATGCTTAGGTCACAGTACTGTACCCAACTCGTTTACAAACTGTTCTCGAAACAGTATTTATGCCGGCTGTTCTCAGCGCTCTTATACTGTACCCAGCTCTTCGAAATTGCGCTCGTCGCGAATCACTGACTGCGCTGCCGACGCCGACGCGAGCTGTGTCGGCAATTTTTCAGCGAATTACAACGCTTGACGATGCGCTCGCAGCCACGTGCTGCCGCTGCTAGCGTCGCGACGTTAACTGCCGTTAGCTAAACACTGAGCATTATAGCTGCTGCGCTTGCTGTCTGTCAGCTGTTTGTTGTTGTTCTTGCTGTTTTCTTTTAATGCCGCCGCCGCCCGCTGTCGCTGACGCTTATCGGTGGGCGTCGTCGTAGGCAGCGCAAAACAACGCTGCGTCCCACACACATCTGGCCACGCTTCCTGCTATCTCCGGAACAGCCCACCGCCCTCCCCCCACCCAAACGCTGTTCGTCATGTGCCTTGCGCCTTGCGAGAAAAGCTTTGATATAAATTCTTATTGGCGCATTACAAATTGTCGTCTTCGTTCTGCATGTGTGAATGGCTGTGTGATTGTGTGTGTGTGTGTAGGTGTGTGAGTGTGTGGTGTTTGTGTATATAATGTAATCACTCACACACTCACACAGACACAGAGTGTGAGTGTGAGTGAGAGAGAGAGAGAGAGAGAGAGCGATAGAGCGAGACAGACACGTTGCTTATTGTTTGTTTTGTCATTAGATTTTGCGCATATTTCGACGTAATTAGATTTTCACCTCATTTGCATACAAATGAGGCCTAGCACAAAAATCAAAAAAATGCGAGTCAAGAATCGTGTTTTACACACATATTTTCACGCCTTCATTGTCCTCTGATATTTCATTGTTGTCGCGCCTGATGAGGCCCGCCGAACAAGCGCAATTGCATACATTCATATGTAAATTAGCGGCTAATCAACCGGCTTTTGTTTCTATCAGCTGTGACAGTTATTAGCCATCCTTCCCCTATTTAACTAACTCAACTCAACTTACTTTGATATTAATGATGTAAATATCATCTCCATTCACCTGTCACAAATTAAACTTTACTCCTATTCAAAATTCCTTCATATTTCTCAGCTTATTCAAGGTTACTTTTCACTCATCTATTCTTACTTGTTTGCTCTCTTCGTTCCCCAATTACCTACTCCCCACTCTTCATTACCCAATTCGATATTACCTATTGTCATAATTTAAACTATTTAATCCATTTTATTGCATCACATTCAATTCAATCTTACGTCTAGAAATACAAATAGACCTGAATAGAGAAATTCCAAAATATTCATATAAGATGCACTTATCAATTCATTCAGCGCGTAGAGCTGAGCTAATTTAATTCAAATGTCTCAGTTCTGTTTGAATGGCGTTTCGCTGCATTATTAAATGCGCGCCGTAATTCAATCGAAGACCGCAACGCACCATTCATTCACCTCCCACCTGAACTGGCCCGAACCCCAAATGTGCTACTCATACCCAAAACGCGGTCCGTGGAAACCAAATCCAATCACTTGACATTACAATTGAAAGCCAAGTCTGACGCGCCCCAACGTTCACGCAACAGCAACAACAACAACAACTATTTCCATATACAACATATAACGTAACGCTCGGAACTGACTTTGAGGTGCTCTATTTCAATGCGATTGGGGAGGCTAACTAATCTATATAACTATATGATATATATGATCTATGTGATCTATATGATCTGTATGTTCTCTATGATCTATATTATCTATAGTATCTGAGCTATCTATATGATCTATATGATTTATATGATCTATAGTATCTGTGTTGTCTATGTGATCTATATGATCTGTATGATCTATAGGATCTATATGATCCATATGATCTCTATGATCTATATGATCTATATGATCTATATGATCTATAGTATCTGAGCTATCTATATGATCTATATGATTTATATGATAGTGCATGTGTTATCTATGTGATCTATATGATCTGTATGATCTATAATATTTATATGATCTATATGATCTATAGTATCTGTATTATATATATGATCTATATGATTTATATGATCTATATGATTTATAATGTCTATATATGGTCTATATCTGTTCTCTATGATCCATATGATCTACATATATATCTATATGATTTATATGTTCTCTATCTATATGATCTATATGATCTATATGATCTATATGATCTATATGATCTATATGATATATATGATCTATATGATCTATATGA